GGAGGCAGGGGAAACTGTGGTCAGAATGTAAAATAAATAAATATTTAATTTAAAACAAGAAAAGGAAATGATAAAGAACCAGATACATCATTAAAGATACCTTTTTACTGGTGTCCTGAGTGACGTTTTTTTCAAAACTTACCCAATTTTCATAATGGAATAACAACCACATATAAAATAAGATCTTTAAGGATATACTAATTATTAAATTGGTAAATTTTATTGTACTATATTATATTGTTATTGTATTGATTTTTAAATTCCTTGTTCTTACTATGACTACAAGTTACCACAGCTTAGTATCTTTTAACAATATATATTCATAGTTCCTCAGTACTGGGTATTAGAAATACAAGAAAGTCTTCCAGGGCTAAAAGTGTAGATGTCACATGGTCTGGGCCTTCTGTGGGCTCCTGGAAGGACTCCTTTGCTTGTTTTGATCTTGACAGGCTTCTTGCCTTGGCCTCTGACCTTGGCTTCTCTTCTGAAATCCTTTGTGAATACAGGGTAGACCTGGAGTACCATGCTAAGTCCTCTCTGTCTCAAAATCCTGATCTTCAAAGCCCCATTTTTCTAGATCATTTCCAGGCTCTAGGGATTGTAATGTGTTATTTGGGAGCCATTATCCTGCTTAGTGTATCCACCATTTGGTTTAGCATACTACAATGTTATTCTTATGCATAAAAAACAGAAATAAACAAGGGAGAACATAAAATAAAGTGCCAACTTTCCTCCATGTGAGTCTCATGTGTATATTTCAAACACATAACCAGATTTCAACCACACGGGGAAAGGATATAACAATATATATTATCATTAAAATCTGATTACAAAGAAAAGTACATCAAAGCAAAATCACACTGGGAAAATACTGTGAAGATCATGGGGATTCAATATCTTTACAGCACAAGACATTGAATAAATATTTCCAAAACAAGACACAGACTTTCAAAAATGGTATCTCAATTTTATAATATATAGAATAGGTTATATGTAGATATAGGTTATATAGGCATAGATATCTATGTGTGCATCCATTTGCTGATGGTAGGTTTACATCTCATCAGCATAGTTCCCTTGTTAAGAAGATGGTACTGAGCATGATGTCCCTGGTAAGTACACACTGGAAGAAACATCAGCATGTTTGTGATGCACACTGGTTCCCTAGCAATGAGAAAGAAGGATTGATTACACAGCTTCAAAATTCTGTTCCAATGAGTTTGTCCCAGTCCGTGCTGTCTATTGACATTTCACTGTGTTGTTGACTATGTTTATTTTTAAAACTTTTCTTACAACTTGTTTAAGTCTCTACTGAAAGTGTTGAAAGGAAGAATGGAGAAAGTAAAGAGAAATAAAAAAGCATTCACAAATAAATGAATAAGGAGACAGGATGAGGAGTAGAAAGAAGAATGGGAGTGTGAAAGAGGACAGTGTATCAGGCTAGAAGAGGTGATGACCAATTGTGAATTCCAAGCTGGATCCAAAATGGAAGTTTCAGGAAGACACCAACTCCATTTGAAAAATGTCTTACTGTTAGATAGTTCATAAATGTAATAGAAAGGCTGATCAAGTTGTCTACTTGTTAATTCACCAAGTGTAGCAGAAAGTCTATCATTATGAACTTTCTACATTAACAAATTTTTTTAAAATAGCACATAAGATCTATTCAAATTTTATTTAGAATTCATGTTATCAGAAACATGTATAGGAGAGTGCTTGCCCTCTCTTTTTCTCCCCTGCCCCTTAGTTTGTCGAGACAGGGTTTCTCTGTATTGCTTTGGAGCCTGTCCTGGATCTTAACTCTGTAGATCAGGCTGCCCTTGAACTCACAGAGATCTGCCTGCCTCTGCCTCCCAAGTACTGGGATTAAAGGCATGCACCACCAACACCCAGCCCTCTCTCTTTCTTACATAAACATTCACATATTATACATATACATACCCCATATATATGCATACACATTCATATATTGAAACACATAAACACCACACAGACATAAACATACAAACTTCCACATATACATACATGCATTACCAACACAACACCTACAAACAATCACTTGTACACACATCCAAATGAATAAATATTAGTATCAGCAGTATGATAAATAGATGAATGGAAATTAACAATATTCAATATAATTTTAAAAATACCATCATGCCTTCAAATTAAAACTTTATTTTATAGTTAACACATATATATTATATGTATGTATGTGAATATATATATGTATATATATATACAATCACATGAGCTATATCATAAATCTTGATAAAATTCTTAGTGTAACACTTATTTGTATTTATCCAGTGTATCTTGAATACAACATAATTATCACTCAGAAAACACCACTTGAGTCTCAAGTTGCTTTGACAGTCTCAGGTGTGACAAGTTCCAGAAGACATTTCTCTGCCTGTTCATTCCAAGATCCAATTGTGTTTAAAATCAGGAATTGTCCTTCTGTATCATAAAATCATTTTTCTTGATGTGAAGAAATATATATGTATATATGTATGCTGTATTCACTAGTACAATTAATACAGTGTCATCACTATTATCTGCTAGATGCAGATGATACATAGCCTGGGTCATCAAATAATAAAATCATTAAGTGTATTCAAAACAAGTGCTTGAAGCTTTGTATATTTCAGCTTTGTTTTATAATGAAATTTGCTACAATTGTGAAAACAGAAAATGCAGCACTATGGGTGTAGTAAGCTATAAATAGTTTCTCGCATCTTCTGATTCCATTCATTAACTGTGCTTAATGGGTGCCTAAGGTATATGAATGCAGCTATTTTCAAAAGCAGTATGCTAATGCACAACATGGTTCAGAAAGTTCAAATTATGTGAAGCAAATTTTCTCAATGAAGAATTTAACCAGCAGGACCCGGGTGCTGCACCTATAGTTCTAGCACTCAGGTGGTTGTGCTAAGATCACTTGAGGACACACATCAAAGCCAGTGAGGAAAATAAGTGAGAATCCAACATAACGGGTAGCTTATTATGTCAAAATGATTTTCATAATGAGTATTCTAAAAACACAGTATTAGAAATTTGCATATCCAACACTGAAAAAATACTGATAAATGCCAACACAATCAAGTATTTAGTAATTATTACAGACAACCTTAAGTGCCATGATCAGGATAGCTGTCCACCTCATCTGAGACAGCACCCTCCTATAGGTCCAGAGCTCCCTAACTAGCCTGACTGGCTAGTAAGGGTCAGGATCCTTTTGTCTCTACAGTCTCAGCTGTGTGCTCAAGAATTACACCATTCTACCTGGCTCTTTCTTAAAACAACATGGTCCTGGAATCAAACTGAGGTCTTTGTGCTTGCATGGCAAGTGCTTTATCAGCTAAACCATCTCCAGCCCACGAAGTAGATTTATGTAATTAATGAACTTTGCAATGTTTGTTTCATAAAAGAGTAACATGAGAATTTAAAAATTAAAGTAATATACCATAAATTTGTGGCTGAAAGATTAGAATAGTAAAATGGTATGTGTATTTTACTCAGTAGTCATTCCATCATGTTGTTATTGCAATTGCAAGTTTATGTTTTACGACCATTATATGCTTGGCCTTAAGAGCAAGATGTAATACAGTGTAATGTTAGTTGTATCATGACGCTTTCTTAAGCTGAAAAATTAACCATACATTAATTCATGTATACAGGAAAAGTATTAAAAATTGTATTGTGTTGATCATCTAGTTTTTATGTTTACTTTGAATTTATAATTTATATATAAATGATCATTTAATGCATGATAAACTATAATGTAAGACAATTAGTACAATTTCCCATGGGGATCAATTTAATAATGAATGTATATTCACATAAATAATGAATAATTTGTGAGTGTTTTTTCTTATTTTCTATATTATATATTACTATTTTTATTTATAATACAAAGATAATAATATTTGTAATTACATGTTATTTCACCAACATATGTTAGTCCAATCTTAACTTTCTTCTAACAACCAGAATTTTAAACACATTTCCTAGTATTTATTTCCTCTGGACCAAAACTCTCATAAGTTAAAAAAAAAAAAAGACATTTTTCATGCTGCAAAGACAAGCTTTAGAAGTAAAATATTAAAATGAGTTTTTGACATAAGTTTAAAATATCACAATGATTCAATTTTTAAATCTTAAATCACCTATTGTTTACCCGTTAGATTCCTGACAATGAAGTGGAAGAATGTCACAATTTCCTAAGGATGCTGTTGGTTTCAATTCTTATTGATGTTCATTGATCTCATACCTCCCTTTTCCCATGGACACTGTGGTGTCTTGCTTCTCAGTATTAGCACTATACTTCCACATACAGAATTGTATCTGAATAGAACACCATACTCTGGTCAACAAAATCATTACTAAAATATGACCTGAATATAAAGACAACATTTAATTCAATTATCCTTTACATCATCCTTTCTCAACTATGGTGGATGGATTTTGACATCTATGGCCTTTCCTTATGACTTCTTAAATTCAACTGTGACCTTTTAAAGTCACTTAAAATAGCTTTTCTGTGAAATCATGTCACAAAATTAACACTCGGGATTTTGGTGCTGTGTTTCCTTTACTCAAACCTCTTGAGAAGAAAAGCTTCCACAAGCTCTTGTAATCACAGTTTGTTTCCTAAGGTAGTTAACAGATTATATGAAACATGGGAGACAAGCATGTTAAAAACCCAAACCAAACCTACATTGATGAATAACAGCCTCCTTGACAGAGCCAGAGGCAAATGAGCTCTGGCTTTCATCTTGGAATAGTTGAGTATTTCCTATGTTCCTAAATGGTGCTCCTCAGCCTTTGAATTGCTTATTGACCTGAGTGCAAGATACTCCAAGCCAGATTTATTAATTTGACATTGGCAATTGGTGTTCTCTACTCAAAATATTGCATTTGCTTTGGAAGAATGATAGAATATATTCAGAGACTGAAAATTATCTTTACTAATCAATCATTTTCTCCTTTCCTTACAGCACCTTCTCTGATAGGGATGGTGAGGAAGGACTGGGCATCCCAGAACAGCCTTGCTCTATCATGGCAAGCACCTGCTTTCTCCAATGGAGCAGTCCTGGACTATGAGATCAAGTACTACGAGAAAGTAGGTCTTATTTAGCACTTGCTAAAACAGAATTTACACACACACATGCATATGCATTCATATTATATATCGTTATGTAGTTTAGGTGAAAAATCTGTTTCTCTTTGGCCTAACTCCATCATCACTGCATCTTTGACTCCTCTCTAACATCCCATTGTGCTCATAATTTCTTCATTGGTTTATCTTGTTTTATGCCACATTAAAGTAGAAAGTACCAGATGCTCATGTTTTTCAGGGCCTACTCCGGGGAGGTTTATAATATAGCAATAACCAATAACGTCTTCAACTTTTAGTTTCATTGTTCTAACATTGTCTATAATGCTGTCAAAAAGGAACCGCAAGACTGAATTCCTATGATATAAAAGAACGGACAGTACAGAGACATGAGTTTAATGTCAAAATCCATCCACCATAGTTGAGAAAGGATGATGTAAAGGATAATTGAATTAAATGTTGTCTTTATATTCAGGTCAACTGTTTTATTTTGTAAAAACATAGTGAGACAAAACTCTACTTAAAAAATCAATCCAATTTCTACTTTGTTACTTTGGATTATTCTCCTTTATTATAGTTTCCCAAATCATAAACATCCTTTACTTATTAAATTCATAATTCTTTGTGCTTTCCCCTTTCCCAATTATTTATTATTATGACATTTTGGCATATATATTACATGGTCATTTCTGATATATAATTATAATACTTTGAAAGTATTATTGAAGACAGAATTATTATTTTAGTTATGATAAAATGTCCATAGGTTATCCTGGGTTTACTATTGAAAAGTATATGACAGACTTCTAGAATTTATCAGGAACAAAGGGATGCTTAAACTTTCCTACTCAAAGTTTGCATTTTAAATGCTGAAATACCTGACCATAAATTTGCAGGAGAAAAGACATACCTAATTAATAGTGCACATCTTTGTTTAGGAGCTGCAATATAAAACTAAAAGACTACTTGATGGTTGCATCTTCAGCTCTTAATTAGTAACAGGAAGGAAAACAGTAGACATAGGTGATTCAAACAAGGTATAAAATGGACTTTTTCCCATGAATCCCAAGAAGAGACAAAGATTTCTGTCAGGGTTCCTCTAGGCTTTATATGCTTACCTTGTAGTCTTATCTCCCATGATAAGCATTTACTCTTCCTCAGTTAAAGAAAGTTCAATACAATAATTGGAGATGTAGACTTCAAAAGATAAAGGATTTCCCTGCACTGTATTTCCACCGGTGCTGTCCACTGGAATCCCAAAACAGTATATAATGGGCTATCATTTTCTTTGTCTGTGGGGGCAAACCATAAACACACTAAGACTTCCCTAAAGAAATATAGGGTAGAAGGAGAAATAGAACCTATTCTACTGCTAAGCAAATTTAATTTGAGTCAAGAGAAAGACATTTCATATCTATGGGCTAGTTTTGTAAATGTTACAGCCTGCAGCATGTGGTCAAACGTAAACATGTGTGTGTGTGTGTGTGTGTGTGTGTGAGAGAGAGAGAGAGAGAGAGAGAGAGAGAGAGAGAGAGAGAGAGAGAGAGAGAGAGAGAAAGTTCCAGTAGTAGAAACACTACCTGCCCAATACCTGCCCAAAATCAGGAAAAGAAAAACCACAGGATTGCTCATGTTATGGTCATTTTCCTTTACAGATTTTACGTTGGTTATAACCTGTAATATTTCCAAATAAACAAAAGGCATGATCAGTAAAAACAGAGGCACATGCATGTAATTAAAAATCTGAAAACCACTGATTATGAATACGGTAATTAACATGATATCTATATTGACTTTTAATGTGCCTTACTAAGTTTTACTTTGAAGTTGGAAAGGATAATCTTTTTTAAAGGTGTTTGTTTTACAAAATATTCTGTTGACCCAGAGATAATAGATTAAAATGCACTTGGAGCCAAAGATTTCTAAATTATATTATGATTATTATGATTATGTCTCTTATTATGTTTCAGGCTAGGGAAAAAAATAATACTTTTTTTTTACTTAAAAGTCATATTTACCAAAATGGAAATGAATGTACCAACTTTATGGTGTTTGTAGATATTAACTATTAGCAAACCTAAAGGTAAAAATGTAAATCAGTACTTAAAAAAACAATTAGGTAAGTCTTAGGAAAATATTCTTAGCCTATAGTACAATGCAGAATACCAAAATAAAATTATAGAAGAATGGCATAAACAAGTAGAATGTTATTCTTTCCATAGGTACAAACATGCAGGAATACCATCAAAGATGTTTAAATATCACAAACTTCCAAATAAACTCAAAATTAATGACAGTATTACATTTTTCTCAGTTATGACTTCACATGTTAAACTAACATTTTACATATCTACAACTACAATACAATTTTTTCCTCAGAAGAAAATAATTTTAGAAATAATAACTGAAAGGCTTACAGTAGAATTCCCTAAAATTATATTTTTTTCATTAGTAGTAGTTTAAATACTGTTTTGTAAACCCAAACACAATGAAGTACAATTATTCTCTCATATTTAGAATACTAGTATTCTAAATATTAAGTATTCCCCCGTATTTAGAGTACAAGTATTCCCCCATATATGTGCTCTTGTGTGCAGTTATGCATGTAAATGAGATAGAGAAGATGAATAGATATACAAGTCTGTTTCAGTTTTGGTGTTAATGAAATGAGAGAAAGACTTGGACAGATTGGACAGAGAAATTAAAAAGAGAAAGGATTGTAGTAAATAAGTATAGGTAGGAATAGACACATACATGGACCCTACGTATTTGTTATTAGTAATTATCTGATCAAAAATGTGATAAGGTAAAACTTTGTGTGCAAATGATTAAGGAGAATGGTTTCTAAGAGAACTGAGCATGATAGCAGGAGGTCTGTGGAGGCAGATGTCAATCAAATTCCTGATGACCAAGGCAATCTCTGGGTGTAAGTAAATTCTCATAGTGCATTCTCTGCAAACAAAGAAAATAGACATCCTTAGATAGTTCCAGTTTATCTTTAGTTAGAAATATGTGGAATCATAATGGTGGCTAGAAAAAATAATTAGAAACACTCTTAGTTCTCTTATAGTGACTACAGTTTAGATTTATACCTATGTTTAGATTTATAAAGAAAGAAAGACCTATAATAGATGATAAATAGATACATACATACATAGGGATAAATTGTAAATAGAAGATAGGAAGATGGATAGATAGAAAGAAAGAAATTGTAGTTATATATATCACTAAGTCGTTAAAACAAAATAGATGGGAAGAGCCAGAAAGTAAAGTTGATTTGGTTGATCTTTTGGAGCACATACCATTGAATAAAGTACTGAAGTGGTCAAAGAACTGTTGGAAAACACACCCACAGATCTTTTGTTAACATCGTGGTTCTCTTTGAGTTTTAGTACTAGTACCAATGTCTTGATTTTTTTATTATTATTTTTTCTTATTTTACATATTGATCCCAGTTCCTTCTCCCTCCCTCCCATGTCCCCTGACTCCCCTCCCATCCCATTTCCCTCCCCCCAACTCCACAGGGAGGGTAATGCCTTCCAGGAGAGATCATCAAAATCTGTCAAGTCATTTGGAGTAGGGCCTAGGCCCTCCCTCCTGCCTCTAGGCTAAGGGAGTATCCCAAATTCCTTTTGTGCAACAGGGGTACATCCTGGTTTGAGTGTAATAGGTCCCTTAGAGAGCTCAGGCCTTTTAACTGAAACCCAAGTTCATGGAGTCTAAGTCAGTCCAATTCTGGTTTCCCAGTGTCTTGACTTTTATACCAGACATTATCTTTCACTCAAAATTGTTGAGGATGTCTCTGATGCTTTTGTGGACCGCTTTCCCATATTAGATTACCACAACCAGCCGTGATTTGAAGGTTTGTGCCCAGTCTTATTGTATCTTGTTAGTCAATGCTGGTGGATATCTCTGGGAGACATGATCTTCTATTTTTTAAAAAGGGAAATAGAGAAGGATTTGATCTAGGTGAGAAAAAAAAGGAGTGGGAGGAATGGGAGGAAAGGAAATAATGTATGAGTAAAAAATAAGAGTTTAAAAAAAATAGTTGCTCTGCCTTGATGCCAATTAATTGCAGAAGCAATGTCTGCACAATTCTAGAAGGGATTTTGGACTATTCTGTTAAGTTCTGATTGTTTAACATACTTTCTTCTATAAATAAAAAAGAAGATAGTTTGCTTAGAAATCAAACAACACATGATTGTTATCAGCATTCTTTCTCACAGATTGTGACTTATCAAAAGGAAGCCTTGGCCTATGGATGCAAAGATTCAAGTGAATCTCAGAATTTAACTAAGTTTATTTCATGTATAGCCTTTGTTATATTTGTTGGTGTCAGAAACCAAAGCCTCTGATATATTGTTCAATAAATATATCATAGAACTACACCTCCATCCCCAGGCCTTAATCCTCTTGGTTCTCTGTTTGTTGTTGTTCACCTGTGAAATAAAGGTTGATAAAAGTAATCCCTTGAAGTTTGAGATATCTTTGCATTCAAAAAAATGAATTGAATGTGGTATGGTGGCAAATGCCTCTAACCCCAGCACATGGAAAGAGGTACACAGATACCAATGAGCTTGAGGCCAGGCTATCTACAAAATGAGTTACTGGACAACCAGAGCTGCTACACTGCTACACAGAGTAAAACCCTGGCTGGAAAACCAAAAAAAAAAAAAAAACAAAAACAAAAACAAAAAAAACCACTTGAGACTTGGCTATCAAAAAAGATAGATAGATAGATAGATAGATAGATAGATAGAGATAGAAACTGATAAACTGATAAATAATATAGATATTACTATCTCTTTCTGTGTGTGGTATGCACATGCATGCTTTTTTGTATGATGAGAATAAAATGCAGAAAAATAAATATATTTCTTTTTTGGTTGTAAATAGTGAATTAGTTATACTCCCCAAGCTTTTTTGTATTTTTGTAATCAAAAAGTATTTCATTTCCATTTAAGTCAAGTGAACACTGCCTTAATGAGAAAAGAAAATTATGAAGA